TAATGCCAATCGAGCCGGTGGTCACGGCCACAACCAAGAAGATACTGAATTGTGCCTTTCCCACACCGGCGGGAATCCGGGTTTTCAGAAAAATATTCTAGGTGAACTGTAAATTGTTTACCAACCCGGTTATAGCCTTTCAAGTTGTATTTTCGTCCACTCAGTTCGATTGGAGAATATCTTCACCGTGGAAAGTCAGTGAAGATGGCTCCATCAGGCAGTTAGTGACACACGATCGAGTAGGATCATTTCTGAAAGTGGATAGAATTAGTAAAGTCAGATAGACAATTGAATTTTCAAACACCCTCCCCCCCCTCGCCTCCACACACCCCCCCCCATTGTTCACTGAAAAGAAGCGAAGCATTTTTTTCGATTGGTCATTCACAAGATTCCACTTTAACATACAATCACAAAGTATCAAAAAAGTAATGATTAATAAAATACGGTGATATAATATGATGATTCGTAAAATAAACCGAATTGAAAATGTTCTCATCCTGTTCGGTTAGAGACTTGAAGATCGACTGCCACTGTAAACCATTTCTGTGTTTATCAAGGCACGTGTTAACTTGGAGCCGGCTACATCGGTCGCACCAGTCCGTAGTTGACCAAACTAATTCAAGAGCACCGCGATGAAGCTGCCTAAACTGAAGCAAATTATGTTTTTCACGACCGGGGCGGTAGCTGTTCTGACCCACCACTCCGAACCGCGGATTATTTGCTTTTCGGGGTTGCCATGGCCCGATGAAATGACATGATCCATCGTATTTTATTAAATTGAAAGACCCTTCTTGGGAATGGTTTTTATCCTGGAAACCGTCCAGCTATCCGGGATTGTTCTGGAGGACATACAAAAATTGAATAACTTGGCAATGGGTGGTGTAAGGTATTCGGCATGGGATTTTAATAAAAACGAGGATTAGTGAGTCAGGTCCATGAATCTTGATCGACTTGAATTGCATCAAAACTTTGGGAATCTGGGTCGGAGAATCAGATTTGATGTTTTCAGGGGAATTGAAAGCGGACGGTATGGAATTAGGACCAGATGAGGCAGAAAATTGTCGATTTAGTTCTTCCACGTCAGAAAAGAAGTCCCCACGTCTGCCACGGAGTTGCTCGAACGCCGACCACATCTCGCCACAGCTCTTGTTGCCCAAAATGTTCTCGAAGTACATCCGATTCAGCCGCTGAATCCCTGCCTTGATGCGGATCGATAGTCGTTCAAGATCGTTACGTCTGCCACTCGTATATGCGTTTTCCTTGTGACGGCGAAGCGAGGCGAGGCGATGAGAATATATCAGTACGGATGTATACATTTTCTATTGGGCAACAAAATTGAAAGCAGAAATTAGGGTGACTGATGAAGCGTTTTCATTCGAAAGATTTAGATAAAACGGAAAAATCTGTTGAGGAGATCATATTTCGGAGTCTCGTAAGGTTATCGGAGGTATAATTCTTCCCTCGTATTATTCGGGACACTATATGTGCTTGTTGACAGTAATCAACTTTACCATAGATTTTATGGTGCGAAGGATTGTACAGTGGTCAGACGTGCTAATAGGGTCCCTTTTTATGATAAAGACCCGTAGGATATTTACAAACATACCGTCAAGCTCGTCTTTCAAACGATTTGGAAGTGCACAAGATTAACCACACCTAAAGTTCTTACGAAAGAAATATCCAAACGATTAGGCTGTTGAGTGACGTACAACCCTTAAAGCCAACTCCAGATGTTCTCGAGGTTTATTCGACTCCAAACAATAACGAATAATAATGCGGAACAGTGCATTACAGTGCGTTACAAGTGCATAAATAGCACACCTCAAATCGTGGCGTTTCGCAGAGGATGTACCTGAACCGGTGAAATGATGATCGGTGCTAATCGAGGACCAAACACACCAAGCGAAAAGTGAAATCAAATTAAAGCGCACACGGTTCAATGCGGCTCATGGGTAAGATGCAGGATCCATCGGAACAAGATCAAACAGTTCGACAATTAGAGGTCAGGATGGCGGTCACGAGAGGGTCGAGATGAGAGCATACAAAGTTGGTGGATGAGCAAAGAGATAGAGTTATTTTTGGTGAGCGGGAAGAGCATGTTGACAGATGAGATATCGGATTAAGACAGTGACAAAATAAGTCACTAAACAAATATGTGATCGGGATCTTGTGTAGGGTGGTAAACAGATTCAACTGCCTTGTTATTGATAAAAGTCTGATGATTCGTTCTTGTTGTATTAATATGTAACCTGGTGTATTGTTCAATTATATAAATTGTAGTTTTCTCCCGTATTTCACCAGTTGAGAAGCAGCGAAATTTGCCTTAGCATAGATTGTGCAACCTAACTTTGTTCTGCTCTCTCTTTAAGCCTCAACGGTATTATTTAACGTGTACCGTTCTTAATTGCTTACACCAAAATTCCAGATGTCATTTAACGGGTAACCAGCGGATGCATAATGATATACAAGCATCGTACGTTTTCACAATTATGTATTTTTAACTGTGAGGTAAAGTACCCTGTTGATAGTGTAATGTCCAATCAGTTTTAAATCGATCTGTAACCTCCAAAGATCCTACTCAGTTTAACTATTCGATAGTTGACTCCACTCCCATGCTTATGATTTGTTTCATTTGTTTACAGGATCGTCATGATCACCGAGCATTTCTCATCGATCAGTCTCCCAGTCTCGTTGGTTCTCGCCTGGTTCGATTTTTTCTCGGTCCGATCTGGAATCCATTTCTTTGGTCTGTGGCTGGCGTGTTCTGCACTCCCGGACTGTTTGGACCGCGTACACGCCTACAAATCGTCCAATTAGGTCATTGCGCCCAACTGGAATTGCACACGCTTCCCCATTGGACACGCTTACTACCTCAATCCGGTATGACAGAAAATCGATTAGCCACCGGTCAGGCTGTCCTCGCCGCGATACACCAGGTTCGAGCGTGCGTGCGACTGGCTGCTCAATCCAGACATCATTCACAGGT